CTGCACTTGGCACTGCAAAGAAATAACGGGGAAGCAGTGCGGTTGCTGCTGAGAGCCGGCGCCGATCCGAACTCGACCACGACGGACGAGAAGGACACTCCTCTGCACAAGATGGGCAAAAAAGGAGTTCCCGGTGCCGTAGTCGAGACGTTCTTCCGAGCCTGCGACGAATCGAATCGTCTGCTACGGATCGATGCTCTAAACATGTGGGATCGCACGCCGTTGGTTGAGGCCTTGATCTATAAAAACGAGGAGGTGGCCGCGTTACTGCTGAGACATGGCGCGAATCCGAATTCAGTCAACAAGTTTTACGAAACTCCTTTGCACATCTGCGTGCGAGGTAGCCGCGACGCGTCGGCGGGGATGTTGTTCAAGATCTGCGACGAATTGAATCTGCCTTTGCAGGTCAACGCTCGGGACGACGAGGGTAAAACACCATTGGAAGTGGCCATAGCGAAGCTATCGCCTGATACCGTCGACGTGCTCTTGGATCATGGCGTCGATCTTTCCAAAGGCATTTTTTCAACCGCTATCGATCCAAAAAATTTTTGTCGTTTGTTCGTAATCAGTGTAATGCAATCGGCATCCGGTATTCTGGCCGTCGCCGAACGTCTCGAAGCAAGAGGCTATGAATTTAGCCGAAACGACGCCCTGACGATCATGAAATGTTTTGATGAACTTGAATTATTCGAGGTGGCGAAAAAAAAAATTTTTTACGACGACGAGAAATTCAGGAGCGAAGCGAAGGAAATAAAAGTGAATTCGAGTCTGTCGCTCTACGATCTGGTCCAGTTGCGTCCCGAAGAGGAGGAAAAACTGCTCACATATCAGGACTACTTCGGGTTTGCCAGCACGCTAGATTTGTGTGAGATCTCTGCGGAGTTCAGGAATGCTTGCGTTCTACATGTGTGCGAGAATATGTCAAGAGGATTTTTTCGACGCTGGGCGCTGGATCCGTTTCACGATTTGATTCATAAGAGGCTGCCGATCGAGTGTTGCGAGTTCATTCTCGAGAATCTAAGTAATCGAGATTTATTCAACATTTGCTTGGCGGTTGCAGGCTTAAGCACGTCTTGAGAAGATTTTAAAAATTGTTTACCTTAGGACATAAGGACTTTTTAGAATATTTAAAAAGTATGTAATATAGTAGTTTTCGATACAAGGGCCATAAGTAACACTTTAGGGTTACGCGAGGGTCCTAATAGCTGGGACGAAAAGAGTCCCTTATGTCACGAGTATCGTACAACATTTTATAGCACTGTGCTAAGTTCACATTTATGACCTCTTTTCCGATGCATAAGTCATATTGCCAGAATGTGCGACTTATGCCACCGAAAAGCGTGCCAATTAATTAATACTAATTAACGGAAACAATCCTGCGTATGCATCTGAATGAAAAATCAAGGAAACAGTCCTGTCAGCAACTAGGTTGTAATATTGAAATTAAATTTTCCATTTGCTCAGCATTCTGCAACTGGGGTTGCCACTAGTATTATTTGACTTAAGATTTAGCTAAAAAAAACCATTGTACCATTTGGAAAAATGAGTCGAGAAAAGATTGAATCTGCTCAATTTTATATATAATTTTTGTACTAATTTTAATAAATAAAATTCATTTTTTCCAATTACATCTTGTATTTATTTTACTATTCAGCTGGTCTGCTAAATTTTCTATGGCAAGCAAACAAATAAAATTGAAAAAGAAGTTATATTTAATTTCAACGAAAATTCAACAAAAGCATCACTGCAAACAATTTTACATTGTACACCTTATCCACTCGAAAAGAGTATACTTGTACTGCTAGGAGGCTTCAATCGAAAACTTGAAACGGTCGAAATTTATTAAAATTTAATCAGGAATTCAAAAAAAATATTTTCAAATTTTTTTACTGGAACCATCGGGTTCAAGAAACCTTTCCTGTTAAAAAAAGCATTCAATTAAACGCCTTCAATTAAAAAATCTGAAAAAATTTGAAGTTTTGTATTTTGATGAAAAAAAAACCAAGAAAACAATTTCCAGATTTTTTGAGGCTCCGTATCGTCCTAAAAAAATTATTTCCGTTAAAAAAGCGGTTTTTTACTTCAAAAAGTGTGTTAGGTAATCTGAAAAAATCTGAAAAAATCGAGGTTATGTTTTTAAATGCGAAAAGAAAACTGAAAAAATTTCTGAGTTCTTCATTGGCTCATATCGCCGTATTTCGATTTTCAGAATTTTCAATGATTTTATCTGAAGGCCTGAAGCACTCAAAAAATTTGAAAAAATGCAAGGTTGTTTGGATTGTTAAAAAGTATTTTTATAAATTTTTTCAGATATTTTAATTACTTGCAGGGCTTCACAATTAATATAAATAAAAAATTGACGTTTATACCGGAAATGAGAGGTAGGACGGGGGATGGTGTCTAAACGTTTGTTTTTGGGACCTTTTTACCGTGTACTATAACATATTAAAAGCGCGTCAAGTTCGGTGATATACGTGAACACGGTTTTTTAAAAAAGTATTATTTTGACCCATATGTATTTAAAACTTTCTGAAGAGAGAAAAGAGTTCCACAATTTCGGTTAAGCATTAAATTATTTATAAAGACTGGATCATCATATGACGGTGAATGCAAATTCACATATTTGCAATTATGAGAAAATGTTTATTTATCACATTCGTAATCTAGACGAACTTTGAGAATATCAGTTTATCGACTATTTTTGTCAATTTAATTTTTCTCCCATTTGTATGATGCAATATTTAATTACGAAATTCATGGATTGCTTTTTGGTGTGTACTCAAATTGCATCGTTCCCCAAATTTCTTCTCACACTTATCACATGCGTAATCTTTCCGACCATCATGGACTGTTTTTTGATGCTTTCTCAAATTGCTTTGATCCCCAAATTTCTTCTCGCAGTTGTCACATGCGAAATCTCTTCGACCTTCGTGTACTATCTTTTGGTGTAAAATCAAATTACTTTTTTTTCCAAATTTCTTCTCGCAATTGACGCATGCGAAATTCTTGCGACCTTCGTGTATTGTCTTCTGGTGTTCATTCAAATTTCGCTGATTCGCAAATGTCTTCTTGCATTTGTCGCATACGTAATTTTTGAGATTATGGACGATATTTTGGTGCTCGATCAGATATGATTTTATTTCAAATTTCATTTTACACTTATCGCATGAAAAATCTTTGGAACCCTCATGAACTGTCTTCAAGTGGATGAGCAAATTACTTTTTTTTCCAAATTTCTTCTCGCAATTATTGCATGCGTAATCTTTCCGACCTTCGTGCACCGCCGTTTGGTGTGAAAGTAACGTCGATTTTTTTCCAAATTTTTTATCGCACTTATCGCATGCGTAATCTTTGCGACCTTCGTGTACTGTCTTTTGGTGCATCGACAAATCTGACTTTTGTCCAAATGTATGTTTGCACTCGTCACATGCGAAATCTTTACGACCCTCGTGAACTATTTTTTGATGGAAAAGCAAATTCCATTTTAGTCCAAATACCTTTTCACACTTGTCGCATGCGAAATCTCTACGACTCTCGTGTACTTCCTTTTGGTGAACAGACAGAATCCGTTTATATCTGAATTTCTTCTCGCAATTGTCGCACGCGTAATCTTTACGATCTTCATGTATTGTTCTTTGGTGCCTCACCAAATCTGATTTAAATCCAAATTTCTTCTCGCATTTTTCGCATGTGAAATCTTTACACTTGTCGTGGACTGTTTTTTGGTGTTTGATCAAAGTGCCTCGTTCTCCAAATTTTTTTTCGCACTTCTCGCATGCATGATCTTTCCGCCCTTCGTGTACTGTCTTTTGATGCACAAGCAAAATCCATTTGCGCCCAAACTTTTTCCCGCAATTGTCACATAGGTAATCTCTAAAAAGTTCGTGGAATATTTTTTTGTGCTTGAGTAATGTTGATTTATTTTCAAAATTTTTTTCGCACTTGTCGCACGTAAAATCTTCGCGACCTTTGTGTACTAACTTTTGGTGCAAAGACAAACTCGATTTTTTCACAAATTTCTTTTTGCCACTATCGCATGAGTAATTTTTTTCTTCATTGTGAATTGTGTCTCTGTGAGTTACCATACTTGATTCTAGTGTAAATGCTTCCTGAAAAACATCACAAACGTGTTGTTTGTCGTCTGAAACAGCAATGTTTTGTTCATCTAAATTATCTTCAGAGATACAGTTTTCAGATTTCTTTTCACTTTTATACATTTTGGTGCCTACATTAAACGATGGATCAATCTATTTAGTGCTTCAGAAATTATTGAAAGAGTAAAACTAATCTTTTGGTATTATGACTTGTTTCATCGGCAAAATAAACATTCAAACTAGCTTGATTTTAACACAAACATGATCGTGTACCGAAGGACTATTTACATACCATTTACGATTATTATTTACAATTGAGGTAACGATTTATCTGTTTTAAATTATAACTTGGTGGCGATTTTTTTTGGATGAAAAGTTTTAGCATCTCTCGAAGTATGAAAGAATATAGCTGTTCTCACATTTTCATGAATTTCCCATGTTTTTAAGTATTATTTATAATTAAGAAATTAAATCTAGCTGCTGAGCGGTCAATTGCCACTTTACGGTATGATGTACCAGCTATAGTGCTCTATCGATTGCCCGGTTGCAGTGAGTCAGGAGCTCTCGAGTCATTTGTTTTGACGCCTCGTTCAGAGACTGTCGTTAGGTTTTATAATGCTGTTTAAACAAATTTATCACACGATTACTCGCCTTTAATTTTCAAAATACTTGTCAATATTGTGTTTAAATATTCTTGATCGGTGCAGACAAGCTTTACGCAATAACTTTTACCATACACATTTAATCAAATTTTATGCTCTCTTTTTAGGATTATCGAACTCATTAATTTATGTTAAATTGTAATTTGTTGTAATTTTTTATTATTAAAGTCTACTTAAAATACAATTATATGAAATGATGGCATTTAATGTTCGTCATGGTATCAATCTAGATCTGTGCACGAGTCTAATTTCCACTTGATTGATTTTCTTTCTTTTCGCTGGCTTCTACCAATTCAAAAAGACAGTCGTTCACTTCTTCCCTCGTTTTTTCGGCCTCGCCTTTTATAATCATGTATCTTCTTAGAAAAATGCAGTCCTCGATCTTATCGCCCAATTTCTTGTATCGATCATAAAATTTTATCAAGTCCACGTATCCAGGGGTCTCGAGCCATTTCAATTCAGCAGCAAGTATGGACTGCAAAAATGTATTACAATTGTTTTGTTTATATAAACGGGTAAAATATTACTAAAAACAAACCGCATATGATTTTTCTTACCTCGGCTAAGCACTTGGCGGCGGAGACGGACGACCAAAGGGTGGCATCCTCGACGCATTTTCTGGCCTTGTTCGCGTAACCTTCGATGACGAGCGAGGCATTTTGAAGCTTGTCGATGGCCTCTTGCGCGTCATTGATGAAGTTGTAGCGAGGCTCGGTGTTCTGCGTGCAATACTCGAGGTCTTTGTGGTACGCGGAAAATTTCTCCATGACGGGATTGATCTTTTGGTCGCACCGAGAGGTATCCAGATTCAGTTTGTCGGCGGCCTCGTACAGTTCCGTCGCTCGCTTCTCCTTAAACTAAATGTCGAATGAGTAAATTTGTAAGGTAGAACCAAAAAAAGTGAAAATTAACTACTGACCGTTTTCTCGATGGTGTCTTGAAGAAAATTGCCCATCATGAGGGTTTCGTTGATCAGTATCTTCGTACCGCGTATCAGCAACCATAATTCGTACGGTATGTCGTGCAGAGACGGCTGCACCTGAGTTTCCAGATACTCGATGAAGTCTTTCAGCTTGTCCTTGATCATGCCCCTCTCCGCGACATCGTCCTCGACTGCACGAGCTTGCGCTCCCTGCGAAAAAAATACACCGTTATTTACAAATAGGGTAAAAAATTACACTCGCGAATTCGTACTTACGCAGACGAAAATTAACACGGCCAAAGCGATGGCAGACTTCATGATTTAAATGGCTCGTCGACTGTACACTGTGACTAAACGGAGCCAAGCGACCGCCTTATATAGTTAAATTTTGTTTTGCGTTGATAATAAAGCAAAAAAGTAACGAGCCGTTTTATCGATGAGATGATAATCATTATGCATTAGTCGACACGTGATACAAATAAATTCGTGCATGGTTTTTATTCGATGGCTTCAATTTGTTGGTTTTTTCTTTCGTTGTAACAGATCAAATCGATCGATTAAAAAAAAGTCGAGTCATCTAAAATACCACTTTATCATTCGTTATGTGTTCTCTTCTCGTTTGCAGTCATATTATTCTTCGATCTGGGCGCGAACCTCTGTCGGCACTTTTTAATTTTATTATATCAGTGCAGCTAATTGAACATCTTCTCATCTATTCACATTCTCAACATAGTCAAATAAAAATATTTTAATTTTTCCCCAGTACTGAAAAATCAGCTTTCGTGTTTATAAATCTATCGCATCTTTGTTATTGATTGTATTCTAATAATTAGTAACATTTCATTGTGTTTGAACGATTTAAGTTTATATTGATGTGTATCTGTAAATCAATTTTTAAATATACTGTCTCACTCAAGTGCGAAAAGGAATCAGCCAAAAACTCTTATCAGAATCTCAAATGGTATTGAAAAGATATAAAAAATACTCTGTACAATACAAAGACTTACCATAATTTATTTTCAAAAGTTTTCGATGAATTAACTTTTTCAAACGATGAAGTTAGTCGAAAGTACAATGATAGGATATGATAATTGTCCTGATTAATGAATTGTAAGTTGTGATTCTAGCAATGAGAAGCTTGTCATGGTTAAAAACTCAATTATGCTTAGATCATTTCCAAATTTACGTGATTTTTTTCAATGCCTTGTTAACGATCGATTCGGACATGCAGTCTATGACTTCTCTCTCCGCTTGAATGACTGCGACTTTCAAATCTTCGATAGCTCTTGGTTGTTTGCAATCTTCCAATTGTTTCACCGATAAAGGATATCGACGCTTAAATTCCAACAGTTCGCGTTTTCCCGGAGCCTTGAACCAAGCCATTTCCGCGACATGTATAGTCTGTAAAAATATATTTAATTTTTTTTTTTTGATAATCGAGTGTAATAATTCTGAATTACTCATAAACGAAGGAAATTTTTATCTTATACCTTCGTCAAGCACTTGGCGGCGGAGAACGACGTCGAGAGGGTGGCATCGGCGACGCATTTCTTAGCCGTCTCGACGCGATCTTCAATGTCAAAAATGATCTGGTAAATATCGTTCCGAGCTTTTTGCGTGGGTTCGATTAATTTTTGAGCAATGTTCCACGCGCACTTTTCAATGCCAATGGAGTACGACGTGGCGATCTCCGTTAAGGCGTCGATCTTCTCGTCGCATTCGGAGGTATCGACTTCGCGTTCGGCCGCAATCAGATGTAGATCTCTGATTCTGCATTTCATCGACTGAATTGTAGTCGAAAAAAATCGTTTTACCCAAATTTTAAGCCGACGGTAAAATTAAAAAATAATAACGATGTAATTACTTACCACGGGTTCGATGACGTTTATGTAGCTGGCGTTCCGTATGATGTGGTACCTGTGTTTATTCGTATCAAAGTAGATTTTGTTGAATTGTGCGCCCATTTCCGTGAGAGATGGCTTCATAGTAATTTCCACATAGTCAAGAAAGATTTTCAGCTTTTCCTTGATCATACCCATGTCCTTGACATCGTCTTCGACTGATCGAGCTCGCATTCCCTGATTACATAGAGCGAATAATTAATTTTAGATATCTATCAGGTCATTAGTTACATGTAGGTACATTTAAATAGGTTTATTACTTACGCAAACAAGAAATAACACGGCTAAAGCAACAGCAGATTTCATGATTGCAATTGTTTGTCGGCTACTGTGTAACTAAAGGTAGCAAAGCATCTGCTGTTATGCTTGTTATTGTTCAATTTTTTTTGCTGATAATAAAAAAAAAAAAAAAAATAAGTAACGAGCAGTTTTATCGATGAGATTATGAGTATGCTTTAGCCCACACTTAATATAAATAAACTTTTGTATGATATTTCTTCGATAACTTTGATTTTTTGGTTTTTCTTTTTTTTAAACGGTTCAATCGGTCAATTAAAAACAGTTGAATCAACCATGAACACCGACCCATGTTTAATTCTTTTTTCACACTTAAATTTCTTGTGATGTCAATGCAGCAAATTGAAAAAGTCATGTCAACATTATTCAAACTACAGAACAATCGAATATGGTTTTCAAGGTCACGATCAGTAGCATGATAAATACCATTTATACTTCTTAATCACGTAAATCAAATTGTTATCTATTGAATAATTGGGTTGAAACTGTGTCAAAATATGAAATCTGAAGTATTTGAATACGTACAATATCATCGCGTTACATAATGACGACATCTTTTAGGTCATTCGTGCGAATGTGTAGACGGTTAATGAACTGTGTCCGGGTGTCAGCAGCATTAAAAGTTCAAATTAGTTCGAATCATTTTATGCTTTTTTTTCGCACAAGGACGGATATCGCGAGTTAGTCGCGAGTTACCTGGGTGCGGGACTTCGACAGCGCGAATTCGGCCTGCCTCAAGCCTTAAAACAGTCTTTAACTTTTAAAAGATATATGTCTTTTTGTTCTAAGTGCCGTAAAAGTGTCCGTTGATCAAAAAATCGCTTTTTTGTAAATTTGCGATATTTTTGTTTAGTATTTCAAGTCAGGTAATATATTACCTGTCAAAAAGAATAATTTGATTTTATTTTTTTTTCGATTTTTATATTTTTTGAGCAATGCATTAGAAGATTGTTTCATGATTAATGGGTAAACAATATCAACAAATGTAACTTTTTCTCGATATTTTAATCAAGATTTTTTAATTTAATTGAACAATGAATACTTCATCGTTCACGTTGCTATTAAAATTCTTTTCTGTTAATAAGAGTATACTTTGCAGGAATTCAAAGTATTTATAAATAGTTTAACGTGTGATACATACTACAAAGGCCAATAAATTAATTTGAAAAAAAAAACGATTATTGCTCTCGCAGGCATAAATTTGGGCCATGAAACACGACGGCAATAGTGAAATTCCGTCGTATAGATCCCACTGTTTAATTGATGAGAATACTGATAGCTGAGAGTTCTTCAGGTAAATAACCTGGAGCAGAGTATGGAGCATAGACGTTCGGGTTGGTGCTAACAGTACCTACAGTGTATGGTATAGCGAGGAATTTCGAAATCTTCTACAAAAATCTGGCTTATATATCTCGCTGACTGAAATTTCACCACTTGCGGGAACTGTTACCACGACATCTAGCGTTAGCTTGCCAAGTTACTCGGATACGAAATATTAGATTTAAAAAGGCTCTTTCAATTCAAGTTTAACTATATATTGAGCTCTTGCCTAGAGAGCTGTATAGTCCGGGCGCTGGTGCATTTGAGTGGACTTACGAGATCCCCTCGGCGAGTTGACGGATTTCTATGTTTTTTGGGTTGCTGAAACCGAATTTGAAGGTTGCCAGGCCGAAATCCTGGTCAATTTTTTGTTATAAACAAATTAATTGTTTAAACAGCCACATATTGAAAAATATTGAAGATAGATTAAAACAATTTGTTTTTATTTTATTTGTCTTTGAAAAACAAAGAAATTCCATTAAATTAATTGAAAATCCGTCCACTAGAAAAAAAGTTATGCAATAATTAGTGTAAAATACGTCTTTTTTCACCTTTCAACCTCTGTAACTTTGCTCGTATTAGTGCGATCGAGCTCCTGGACGTCTCATTTTAAAGGTAATAACCTACAGAATGATGTAACATAATTTTTATGTAGGTAAAATTGTTTATAATGCAATCTGTAGACGTGTATAAACGTAATTTTATGGCTCTGACGTACTTTCCATTTGTTTATACGCGTTTTTTGCTGAGATAAATTATTAAAACAACGTGGTAACTTAGTTCAAATGAAAGTACATCAAAAAACAAAAATTTTAAGGGGTTTAGGAAGAAAATCGGTCCAGTAGATGCCAAGTTACAGCCTTCTGAACTAGCGCGTAGAAACCAGCGAGCGCTTAGGGCGTGCACACTGAGGCAACATGAACTCATGAACCAAGCTCAGACTTGTTTGTAACTTGGCATCTACTAGACCGATTTCCTTTCTAAACCCCTTAAAATTTTTGTTTTTTGATGTACTTTCATTTGAACTAAGTTACCACGTTGTTTTAATAATTTATCTCAGCAAAAAACGCGTATAAACAAATGGAAAGTACGTCAGAGCCATAAAATTACGTTTATACACGTCTACAGATTGCATTATAAACAATTTTACCTACATAAAAATTATGTTACATCATTCTGTAGGTTATTACCTTTAAAATGAGACGTCCAGGAGCTCGATCGCACTAATACGAGCAAAGTTACAGAGGTTGAAAGGTGAAAAAAGACGTATTTTACACTAATTATTGCATAACTTTTTTTCTAGTGGACGGATTTTCAATTAATTTAATGGAATTTCTTTGTTTTTCAAAGACAAATAAAATAAAAACAAATTGTTTTAATCTATCTTCAATATTTTTCAATATATGGCTGTTTAAACAATTAATTTGTTTATAACAAAAAATTGACCAGGATTTCGGCCTGGCGACCTTCAAATTCGGTTTCAGCAACCCAAAAAACATAGAAATCCGTCAACTCGCCGAGGGGATCTCGTAA